TGCTGCGTGGTGCAGTGCCCTTCTACTCAAGTAGTTCTCCTCTTACTAAACAAGACAATTATAATTCACAGGGCCCTGTGGATAGTTCAGTAGAAATTCAGCCCTTCAGTCTTGGCACCGCCAAAATTCAATCCCACTTACTATTAAAGAAGCCAAAAGTTGCTCCTCTGCGGTTTTTGGCATAGGCTGTGTACTCTGATCGTCATTGAAAAGTCCCTGACAGCTGTGGTTGATAAATTACCTCTTCATGTGGAGGAATCTTCTTCTATGACAGGAAGAGTTATTTACAGCCACAAGGCAACTTGCACCCGTTTTGTCATAGGATTTAAATTTACCTATATTTTCTCTACAGGATGTTTTACTGGCTTTTTTTGTTCTTGTTAGAGCCTAGTCTTTTTGCTTTGTTTTGTCAACTTACTTTCTTCCACAAAGGACAGACCACTTTACTGCTGCAGGCACTTTAAAAAAGACCAAGTCTCAGTTCAGGTTGAGGTGCAGTGATGAGCTTGGATACATAAAGCACTTTAACTTGGTTTAATACATGTGCCTTAAATTTCATGCAGCACGACCTCATCTTTTGAATGAAGATTTTAATCTTTGAGTTAGTAGAGCATAAAGTAGTAATCCTGTAGCTTTGAGGGCAGCTTTTTTTGAGAAGTAATTTATTATCCAAGAAAAAAGAAAAAAATCAATTAGTATTCCAAAACCTAGCTGACAATTTTATATTTGTGAATGAAATCAGATGTAGTAAGTAAGCATACACCAGTATTTCCCTGATGCTGATGTCCTGAAATCTGTGGTTGACAGACCAGTTTAAGCACCCCTCAGAGTACTTCCAGTATGTGTAGTGAGCCTTTTATCATATTGTCTTGTTTTAGCACTTTTAAAAGTAGTAATAACTATTTAAAATACTAATTATGGTGTGGGGAGAAGTTTTACCACGCCAACCGTGGTACTACTGTTCTGGAAGAAAGGACAAAAAGAGGTGGTTCTTCCTGCGAAGAGCTCCATGAGGCAGTAACAAATAAACTTATGCCTTGTGCAGTACCTGCAGACTGTAACACTTCTGATGGAGAAGTCTTATTCAAGCACAGGTATATAAAGTTTTTGCTTTTCAGTGGGTACTAAAAGCATGGGGAACTGAAGGATTTGAAATGGTAATTCGTTTGGGTTTTGTTTTTTTTTTTAGTTGCGAACTGATAACATTTTGTAGAGAAGTAGAAACTCATGTTTAGTGGCTAGAAATGCAACAGAAATGTCAAGAGCCTGAGCTATGTTTTACTGTGTAACCTTTTCTCTTAGTCTGTGACCCTGGAATAAAGATTTTAAAAACTGAAGAAGTTGTTTTTAATTTGTCCTGGAAGTAAGTGTCTATACAAAACATATAGGCATCATCTTTACACCAATATCAGTATTCATACAGGATCTGCTGGCTGTATGCTTTCCAGAGTAAGTCCCACAGAAATCTAATCTTTCTGACAGGGCAAGGTGTTGATGGGACTTGTCCCTACAAAAAAAAAAAATCCCCATGGCACTAAAACTTGTATAGGTATACTACTTTGTGTTTCATGATTAATTCTAATGGAATGCTTAATGAGCATTAACTTTAAGAATGTGAAGGGATGAAAGGAATAACTTTGGTTCACCATTTTCAGGATAGCGTTCCTGTAGAGAGGGAAAGGTGTAACAGTAATGCCAAGGCTAGTTAAAGACTTAGGAGAGGTGGGAAAAGACTTTTTTCTACTTGATAGGCTTTTTTAGCTGTTCTTGTTCCCCGCTATTCACTTTCCGTCAGCAAAGCTGTAAAGAAGGTCAAAACTGCTACACTAGCTCCCCGTCCCCGTGCCAGCCTGCGCACCGGGCCCCTGCGACGCGTGCCAGCACAGCTCTCGCGGCCCTTCCGCCAGGGCGCTGGCAAGGCTGTAGGTAAATCACAGCTCTGAGAAGTTGACAGCTTGCCATTAGGCTCAGCTTAATTAGAAGGGCTTCCTTTCAGAGAGGCAATGGTAAAAGCTTCCTCAATGCAGCCCAAGGAAGCCATAAAAGAAAAAATGTAGAACTGTCAGCACTTCAGTTTTTCTGTCTCTATATATTTTTGTTTGTTTGTTTTTTTACTATTATTTACTCGCAGCCTCTGTCCCAGAGCTGCAAGAAGCACTGATGCTGGTCTTTTAGTGTTTTTGAAGCCTGTGCGATCCTAAACTCAAATCTAAGAAGTATGAGATAAGCAATGCTGACTAGCTTTTAACGTAAAATATCCCTGAGGAAAAGAAGGAAACCCACAGAAGGACAAGATTCAAGCTAATTTTGAGATACCATTTCTGAATATTTGTTTATAGTGTCCCTAATGTTGCATGCAGCAAAATAAACACGCCATAATACCGTACAAAATAATTAGTTAAAAAAAGCCCGCAGAAGCAGCATGAATCCAAGACAGCAACTCACAAAGCCCATAGAGAGACATACGTCCATGGCTTACTAACAGGCTCTTTGGAAACAGGATCACAGAATCATTAAGGTAGGAAAAGACCTTTAAGGTCACTAGGCGTAAGCATTTCTCCAGGCTATCCTAACAGCGACAACAAAGGACTACTCTCCATCATGCGGAGTAATTCTTTCCACTGCAATCCAAATACCCTTTCCACAGCAAAAGGGGAAAGCAACAGCAGCGTACCCCCATGTTCCCACAGCAGCTCAAAGGCTAGGCTGAGCCCGGAACCACCTCCCACAGCAACACCCAACCCGCCGCGCGCCCGAGGAAAAGGCTGAAAAATCAAATGAAACTCACAGAAGGGAGGGCCACAACAGTGCTCAGAGGGGTGGAACACCTCTCTGAGCACAGGCTGAGAGCGCTGGGGTTGTGCAGCCTGGAGAAGAGAAGGCTCGGGGAGACCTTACTGCAGCCTGCCAGTGCTTAGAGGCGGCCTAGAAGAAAGATGGGGACAGACTTTTTAGCAGGGCTTGTTGCAATAGGACAAGGGGTAATGGTTTTAAACTAAAAAAGGGCAGATTTAGACTAGATAGAAGGAAGAAATTTTTCACAACGAGGATGGTGAACCACTGGCACAGGTTCCCAGAGAGGTGGTAGATGCCCCATCCCTGGAAATATTCCAGGTCAGGTGGGACGGGGCTCTGAGCAACCTGATCTAGTTGAAGATGTCCCTGCTCACTGCAGGGGGGTTGGACTAGATGACCCTTAAAGGTCCCTTCCTGCCCAAAATACTCTGTGATTCTAAGGGCTTTTACTATTAAACATCACTGAGTAAGAAGGTAAATCACCAAGAAAACTAAGAAAGCTTTTCAGGATGGATATTTCTGCCAACCAGGCTGCTGGCAGTACTGAAGAGAAATAAATGCTGTTTAACCATCCATTTCAAATTGAAACCATAAGAAAAAAACCCCTTGTTATGAAAGCCTATGTGCAAAATGGGGTATGCTTTATGCCAATAATGTAATGTAGATGCTGAGAAAATTTAACACAACAGTGCCTGTTTTTTTTTCCAGGCATATACCAAAACGGCATTATTTTTGAGACCTGCATTGGTGATCAAAAGAAATCACTTCATACAAGTTGCAAATAATCACATCGCTTACAACAGTGCTTTTATGTTGTGATTGCCTGGTAAATTTGTTGTGGGAGAAAACACAAAGAAACGACCCGGATCCACTTGCACCTTTAAATCATAATATGCAGAAATGACTGTAACGTACTTAAAGGTGAGTCATCTCCAGATCAGCATGGTCGGTAAATCACTGCTCCAACCAAGCTGTGTTGATGAGAAGCTGGGCCAGGGAACGCAGCATCAGCGCAGAAACTCGGCTGAGCCTGAACAGAGGCAATGAGATGTCTCCCATCTGTTTCCAAGAACTGTTTCTAAAGCCTGAAGGGCTGTAGCTCATTTTTTCAAGGGAATGATGAAAAAAACCCTCTCAGAATCACAATAGATTGTCTTGCTTTGCCTTTCTTGCATGTTGACCTAGATTTTTCTAAACACAACAGGAGTCAACTGGGCCCGCCTTTGGAAATACACAAGTGTTGGTTCATTAAGGACATTTAATTTGCCCGGGGGCTGGGCAGATGGTCTCCTGAATGGCAACAGAGGCCAGTGAAAGGCGGGGGAAGGGCCTTGGTGACCACTGTCATAGAGTCTGCAGTAACTTTCACCACTATAGGGAAGGTCTTTGAAGCCCTACAGTCCGCTGCTTGTGGGCATTCTGGCATGATCTCGGGGTGGGTGTGCCCAGAAATTGTAGGCCTTCCACAGAAATACAGTAGACTTTAGAGGAAGTTATAGAAAGCAACATTTAGCTCCCTGGTTTGAAGGCTTGCAGGAAAATGACCTTTGCAAAGAAAAAAGTAACCAATGCAGTAAAGTTTCCATCAATGAGAGAATCTGAATTAAGTGTTCCTTCTGTATTTATACCTCATGTTTGAGTACAGGGAGGAACATCAAATCACATTTTTTAATTACAGTACTGTTGTGTATGAGCCCCTGTTAATGAGGCCGTCAGTCCCACTTCACTAGTTACAAGGCTACACAGTTTAAAAAATGCTTTGCTTTTTGCTTGTTGGTTACAAGTTTGTACATTTTCACTTGCCTACCTCCCAGCAGGTGATCTGCACATACAAAATAAGGAGATTTTTCTAGAGGTTTTTTTAACGACTCCAGCCATTTAAGGACTTAATGAGAACTTTTAGCATCTGGCCACCAGCCTATACATTGAGTTTATCTTGTCAGCAACACGTTTATTCAGACTGGTACCTGTACGCGAGGCCTGGACGAACAGGTCAAAAAATTGTTGTGGCTTGTTGAAAGCAAAAGCAACAAAAAACTCCTCAACATTTCCTTTACTATCACTCTTCAGAGGAGAAGCAGTGGTATGGCACAACCCGCACGCTGTACTAGACCTCTTAGCCCTTACAAGGCCCTTGCAACTCCAAGCATAACTACAACACATGCATGACTGGGAAGGGGCAGGGGAGAGTAAGGATACCGTCGTATCATTTATCAGCGTTCTTTGAGACTGTTCTCTCAAAGCCAAGCCTCTTAGGCGCCCCTTGAGGGAATAGACAGGGAGACCAGTTTACCAAGTTTAGAAACCACACAACCTAAAATCTCCTCCTAAAGACACTCTAGACTTCTTATCAAAACAAAACCCACATACAAACAACACCCTTTTCCAAAATTTCAGAAGTGTGAAAGATTAAAAAGTTCACAGTTAAAAAAAAAAAAGGCGAGTACCTGCATCGAGAAGAGCTTTCAGAAGACCAGCAACATACCCTTCCCTCCTAGGGGCAGGGCAAGCCCCTCATATCCTTTCTGTGGATGCACTCAGGTGTGGTTGATCTGGCTTTGCTCCTTAAGGACTAGCCCAGCTCTTCTTTCTTCAGAGAGACAGGCTGTATGGGTTTAGGGACAATGTTGTTATGTACGGTCATTATTGCATTACTTCAAAACATTCATATTTTATTAGAATGTTTTCCATCCACAGCCACCAATTTTTGCTGCAGTTTTATTTAAAATAAAGTGCTTTTGAACAATGGGAAATTCATCAGCTCAGAAGGGCACGATATTCATCAGGATTCCCCCTCCATGGGGATGTAGCAATAAGTTGGGAGCACATGAAAGCAAAGATTTCTAATAGAAACTCGGCAAACTTCAATATCCTACACATGGCAGACTGCTTACAGTTACACAAACAGCAACGAAGGTGACAGGAGAACTGAGGCCATCAAATAAATGCCTGGCAGGAATTACAGCCCAACCCTGGAGCCTTGCAGTTTCCATTCAATAAACTACAAACCTAGGTCTGGATCTAGCAAAAGTGTGATATATGTCAAATGCACTTACTGCACTTTGGGATGGCAAGGAGGAGCACACGTTTCTAGATCTTCCACAAGTGGTAGGCTAGATGGCAAGGCGCTACATGTGAGGACACGTCACCTGCATGGGGAGACGAACTTTTCCTGATGCTGTGTAAAGATGTAGTGGCAGAGCTTTAGGTGTTAATCCAGAGCTAACAGGACCTGGCTGAAGAAATGAAGGAATCAGTGTGGGAAAAGATTTTGCTTCAATTAAAGATATGCCTTGTTTGCATCAGCCTGTGGAAGAAGCTGTGCTGTGTCCCTGACAAACCGTGCGCTCATAGGACTGCTCCCAAAGGCAAGTAGCTCAGCTCTAGCTGAATGGCCTGGTCAGAGCAACCTCTTGCACTGGAGACGCAAACGTGCATTTTAGCTGGTGGAGCCTGCTGCACCCTCAAATTGAAGAACTGGTTTACCAAAGTTCACAATAGTTGTGATGAATTCACCGGACATCATGGACTTAAGTCACCCACACAATCCCCGCCCAGGATACCTCTGCGCCCAGACTCTGCGCATTGCCCAGGAACTCAGCCGGCTACAGGCAAGGTGGCATTTGCACCTGGCCCAGCACGTGAAACAGAATCTCTTTCCGAGCCAGTAAGGTCCCCCCCAGCCACGCCGCTGGGCGCTCCGGCAGGCTCCCGTCCCGCTCCACAGGGCACGAGCGGCAGTCCTGCCCGGCTGCGCCCACCTCCCTGGCAGCCCGCAGCTCGGCGTGCACAAACGACGTGGGTTTCGTGTTGATGTCAATGGCAGAGAAAGGAAAAAACAAAAATGAAACCTGAAGTTTTAATGCACGGCTGCTATCAGTACCATAGGAGAGAATGACAAATCTTTCATTGGTGAGGTGGCATAGCGTAATTTTAATTATTTTTCAAATAAATACAATGCTGAGATTTACATTTTGCTGATGTAACAATTTGTGAAATTTTTACATAATCATTAAAGTTTTTTTTTTTCAAGGTACATAAGAACACTCTATATAAAAATAGTTCTTTAAATGAAACATTTAAAAACACATTATTAGATCTTTGAAATGCCGTAGTCCTGTTGTACTTCATAATGCAAAAAGGTTAGCAGCAAAGATATTTCAGTATTCTTTCCAATAACATACATTCATTGAAATGTTTAATTTTGGTTTGTTCTTTTTTTTCCTTTGAAAGTATTTAATCTTAGCTTTAAATCCAATGGACTCACATAAAAGCAATATAGAATGGAAATCAACTCTGGTATCATTATATTCACATGTAAAGTATTTATCACTGAAGAGTGATTTACAACTTATGTTTATACTTAATACGATAAAAGTAAAACCAAACTGTATATATCATGTTTGACATTTTAAGTAACTTCTAGGCATCACTTTCCTTTTTTTTTTTTTTAAACTTTTTTCTTTTTTCCCCCCCAAAACACATTTTCAAAATCATACAGTGATTTCGAGTGCATTGATTTTTGGTTGCTCTTTCTACTACCTCTCTTGCCCTGGTTGTGTGAAGACTTCCTAAATGCAGTTCCCACTGATTAGAAAAGAAGTTGTTAATGCTCTGAGCTTCTAAAAAAGTAAAGTCCAGGATAATGTGGGATGATAAACCAGGGACTCAGACAGCAAAAGGTGTTGGCCACTACTGAGAACATTGGTTATAAATTCCCATTTTCTTCTCACCCGAGACATCCTCAAAATCTCCTGAGATTTTTGCCAGAAGGGATGAGGCGATAATCAGACCCTTATTTATAGTTTTTTTCATCCCCAAACCTGCTCTTTGATGATGTGGTTCATTGCTTGTTTCAATGGAAGTACCATGTACACAGTATGTAGTCTGTCATTAGATATTTCTATACCGATTTCTTAAATTCTTCTGACCGTGAAGAAAGGAGTTGTGTCTGACAGGCTGGGATTTACAGGACACGTTCTGGAGACCGAGCCTTATACTCATCGTTCTGGATGGCAAGAAGGGAGAGAAACTAACCATTGGGACATCAATAATTCCTAGTTCCCTGTGCAAACCAACATGGTCCTTCCAAAAATAGACCAAACAAGTTAACTCCTATTATTTGTCCACCATTTGTGAGAGTCTCTTCTCTACTCCTACTCCTTCACAAGCCACAATAAGGAGGAACAAACAGACTATTTCCCAGAAAAAAATACTGCAGAGACAGCCAGAACGCTGCCCTCTTCGTCCCCCCTCGCAGGCACAAGTTAAGTTACAGATATAGCTGGATATCCATAAGTAGCAGGTACAGTAGATGAGATCTGCATAAGACTGGATTTGCAGTTCATTCTTTTTCATCCATAGGAACCCTCTGTTTAGGTTGCTCTAACTCTCTGGATGATGCCCGTCCTAGCCTACAGATTGATTATAGCTAAGAGAGGGCAGAGAAAGCTTTCAGCTACCCCAGGGCATCTCCCCTTTCACGTGTGACTTCTTGGTTATGCTTTAGAGACAGAAGTTGCCCACCGCAGAACCAGGAAAGGAAACGTACTAGCAAGCCCGTTCCTAACTGCAGGGGGGGGACTAAAGATGGAAGCTCAATTTATGGATTGTAATATGACAACGAAGGAGCGTCTCTATGGGCTTGCAGCTTTTTTCTCCCAAAAAAGCTATAGTAGAAGTTGGTTTTCATGGACACCTAGCAACAGCTCACCCAGCTCTGCATGTGGGAACTGGAATGATTTGATCCCACGCAGCCCATGGAGACACTCATACCTTGCTGGATTTTCCCCTGGGCTTTGCTAGGGCACTGCTATATATTTCTTATCTATTTTATATACTAAATTGTCAACTTGATATGCTATAGAGGCAAAATTAAGACCTCTCATTAAAATACCTACAGCCAAAATTTGGGACAATCCTGGTTAAATTTAACCAAGTGGAATGGCTCTGTTGCAGCTGGCCTTAAATTTAATTTTGCCCAAGTGGAAGGGAGACTGTTGAACGCACACTCAGAAGTGAGCCTGAATTTCTCTTACATTTCTTGCCATCCTACTCTGTTACCTTATTAGGTGGTCTCTGCCTGTAGTGATGAAAATGGTATTTAGGTCAATGTGTTCTTTGCTAATTGCATTAGCCATGTGCCTAAGACTTAGGCTTCCTCTTCTCCCCGCACTGCCTTTGTCTATTAACGTGTGGTCTTTAAATATATTTAACTCTTAACAGTGTACTTAATCTGTCAGGTGAGATGGATAGAGTCTGTTTTAGGCAGACTAAGATGATCAGTGCGATGCTAATTACAATATTCACATGTGTGGAGAGACCCCTTTTCTAAAGAAACACAAGCCATTTTATATGCTACTTTTTATACTGAGTCCCCAAAAGCAGAAGGAAGAATTACATTTGTGTTCCGCATATGAGGTCTAATTGTATTCAGAATATGGTGTCTTTTTTTTTTTTTTTAATTGCTGCAACATCTTTTGGAAGTTTACTTTATAATAGGATCATTTTCCCTTGGAAAAAAATAGTGAATACAATAATTGCTTTTATCTTCCAAGGGGTTTGTTTTGTTTTGTTTAAATCGCATTTCATTGGCATAATTTTTCCTCACATAATAGCAAAGATCAGAACAGAAATGTGTTCAGACCCACGCCCCCGCACAGGTGTATATCTCCTGAAGCAGATTCAGCAAATGGAGAACTGCTCCTGGCTTGGAAATGGACAATTACTACACCAGTAGTATGGCAAAGTCCAGCAGAAGGAGCTGCATTACTTTGACTAGGGGTATCAAAATTTAAAAAGACCTTTGAGAGGTCTATACTTAGATGTAAAGAAAAATGCCTTCTCCCTGTTTATTTATTGAATGCCATTGGATCCTACATACTAGCCAAAATCCAGACAGACAGCTGATAATGAATTTCTGAATTCCAGCAACAGCAGAGACTAGCAGTTTCCCTGAGCTAAGCTAAAGTTTTGAGTTCAAATTTATTCCCAAGGACACTCACTACATTTTGAGCAGGAAATAAATATCCTGAAACTATTTGCTAACTGTTCAGCTTTGAAAGATAGTATGTCTTTCATAGACATATCAATCCAAATGCCTCAAGATTAGGGGTCTGTAAAATACTTGTCAGAGGACCTCGGCCCTTTCCCTTGTGCTGTGCCCATCACCGCTCGGTCCAGGCGGCTGTAGGGTAGCGTTCCAGCAGCGCGTTCCTCAGCTGGGCTGTGTGGATCTTGTCTCTGGTCTCCACAGTGCAGGTGACCTGGGAAAAGAATTAGGAACATTCCTGACGGCATGGCAGCGATCTCAGACAAAGGCATTTCCAGCTCAATCCTAAAACACCCTCGTAAAAGCAAAACGATCAGTTCAACGTAAAACTTCTGGACCACGCATCCCCTGTCTACGGAGGTAAAACTGACATTGCAGGCACCGGGGGCACTTCCAGCCCTTCTGCCGGATCTTAAAGCCTTTCAGCAGCCCTACTTTATTGCCTTCAAGGTTTGAATAAGATAGATTGATCCTCTGCTGGCTCCTGGGCAAAATACTTCTCTGCTGTTGGCCTCCCTGAAGTTTTCTGTTAGCAGCTTCTCTTTTCTCTTCCCTGGGGTATGTACGTGGCGCTGCTGCCACCTCACCCATGTCTGACTCTGACCTCACCACATTTCCATATTTCTGGGCAGTGTTTGTGCCATCCTTCAAGCTCTTTATGTTCTCCTCCTCCTCTCTGTCATGGTGTTATCCCCCAGTCCTGTGTTATCCCTGCAGTATTCTGGCTGATTTTGTCTGCTCGCACGCCTTCTTGTTTTATTCTGATTTTTTGTTTGCTCATTGCATCACTTCTAGTTTTCTGTTCTGGTTGTTCTGCTGCTAAATCAAACTAAACCCAGGCAAACCTCATCCTGATAGTTTTCTTCTTATTCTTCACTTGCCTCCACAAGTATTATTGACAATCCTGTCATGCAATCACTGAAGACAATAACTTCAATGTCGCTTTTTCAATTCTTCAATGCCTCTTTTCTACGTACTCACATCTCTACTGCATCATTTGAAAAGCTGGGTGCTGCCGTCAGCTCTGCACCAATACGAAAGTGCAGAAGGAAAATTATACTTCACAATTTTAGACAACTGACTTCCATCACTTCTGATCCTGCTAGAGTTACCACTGATCTTGAAAATACCATGTGGAAAAAAGACCTCACAGAAACATGGGAATCTACTGAGGAAAGGATCCAAGATGAGTCACGGTGCAACAGAGAGTTTATTGTAACAGGCAAGTCTACAGAGAACAGAAAAAACTGGTCATGTTAACCTTAAGGTGGACTGCTAGAGGCAGATGCCCTGTCTAATGTTCCTATCAGACCTGCATCCTTCACAGAAAGCAACGAGGCAAAAAAATAAAATGGTCTCTACTCAAATATGTTTACGAGGACATTTCTAAATAAGAACTTTGGGAATTCATGTTTCCAGGAACGAGCTTAAAATAACAATAAACCTTTAGCAAAACTGTTGAATGAGAAGATAAACACTAACTCGAGGTTATTCTAAACAGCCATAGGCTCACTTAATTAGAAAACTGGCTATAGCTTCCAAAATATCCATCGTGAAATAAGCCACATTTCTGATCTGTTTCCATAATTCTTTGCCTCTTATCCTGAACATGTTCTATTCTTGTTTGGTTCTTTGGAGCACAAATTAGATGCTAATTTCTTTCTCCTCTGGAAAAGTGAGGTTTAGTCTGGAGAGAAGGGCAGTCACAGAAGACTACCAATAATGAGGGAAGAGGAGAGAACACAAAGATTGGGAAAAGTATCTAAAGGATATCTAGGCACCAAAGTACCAAATGCCCATTATCCATTCCCTGGTTCATATAAAATCCCTAAAGCTTTGCAGTCATATCTTCAAGAGCACACACTCATCTCTCTCAGAGTCTGTAATTAAAAAAAGGAACCTTTTTCCCCTTCCACAGCAATCGTGCCTGTTTTGTCCTGAGCAAATCAATTGCTGCGCTTGGAACCAGTCTGGGCTTGCCAGGTTCAGCTTTGAATGTTTGGCAGCAAGCGGTTGCTCTGCCCTGGGAGCAAGCGCGCAAAAGCATTTTGATTTATAGAGCTAACTATCCCCCTCTCTGCCCTTTTCTTTCTGCTCATGATTGAAGCCAGACAGCTTGTAAACAGTTTGGATAAATACTGTCTTTTTGTTCTGTGCGTGCACAGCATCCAACACGCAATATGGCCGTTAATACGCTGCAATGTATTATAAAAGTAATAACAACAGCAGCAGCAGAAATAGTAAAGAACTCCAGAAATTTACCTGATTTTTTTTTTACACCTGTCAACTAGAGGAAGAGAGAACATTCGCTCGCAGCAGGAGCGAACAGAGAATCGCTCCACACTTTCGAGCAGCTACAGATCTAAACAGCAAGGAAGGCAAGAATTTTTTTTCTTGCTCAGATTAAGCCATTTTACACTGTGGTTTTACCTTCACAGAACTCCTCTCTCTGATTTGCTTCACCTGGGAAGTATGATTTACATGAGTGTCCAACAGAGCAATCCTCAGATTCATGGGGACGTATATGAGGATTATATTTATCTAGGATGAATAGTCACCTAGGTGCTACTAGCTACAGGAGGTTGCATACCTGTTGATGAACTAAGAATAAGTGCTCCAAATTGGTCTTATTTAAGAACAAATGACAAAACCTAATGCCTGATGCTTCTTATACTCCAGATAACCCATGACAACTAGAGAAAACTTTACTTCAAATTCGTTTCAAACCCATAAGCCCTCAGTACTAGACACAGGCTTCTTGATCCAGCAGAGCTCTCATTCATTGACTGCAGGACCATGTTTGCACAGTAGATCTTTCTTTTCTTTGTATCAAAAAAACCCCACAAAGACCAGCAACAGCAACAAATTAATATAATTTATGCATTTTTCTCCTTCATATTATATCCTTGCTGGATTAAAAAATAATGATGATTTAAAAACTACCTGCTCCCGTCAGACTGTTAAAATAACCAGCCAGATGGATCTTTTGCTGCCTTTAGATTTCCACGCTCTCTGCCAGGCAATCTAAAGATTGGCTCCAGCCTAAAGGTTTAGTTGGCCTGTTGGTTTTTTACAATAGCAGGCCTACAAGTAATGGAAGACAGAACAGTCTTCACTGAATACTGATATCTTGTGGGTTTTATTTAATAACTAGGAATAAATGAGGGAGCAAGACAAAGGCTGAAAAAAAGGTAAAGGAAAAAATTGATCACAAGTTATTACTCTGTGCAACACCAAAATACAGATGCATAAATTAAAATATTCACAGGAATTAATTCAATTTCAAAGAGAGGAAAGTTCATAACTTCACAAAAGGAGGGAATTTGCAAAGTTCTGTGATCAATAATTTGGGCAACAGAGTGGGCACCTCTGCTCCCCTTTAACTGCAAGTCTCACATGTGGGCACTTAGCCTTTTACATCATATTTTCCTAGATACTAAAAATTAATTCGGTGTGCCTCTTAACTCCCTGATGCCTGATATCTGTAGGTTGCGTGTGCAGGTAAAGATATCGGGTGGACATGCTGAGCCAGTGGTAGAGAGCAGAGGAAATGTGAGTGGCATTGCTCAACCAAAAGATTTCAGTCTTTTGTGCTTTTCCAGGCTCCATGTAAAGACAGATCGTAACCAGCTAGTGCAATTCCTTATGTCCCTGACTCATCCATTGAACTTTTGTATCCCACTTCTTTAATCCTAGAAATCATATTCACCACCTTCTTCCAAGCTGTTGGTCTTCGAGGATTCACATAACAATATTCATGACAGACCATGCTCAGCAACAGTATAGGTTTGTTTGCACGAAAATCACTGGATTTAGAAATGAATACTTGATTTATATACACTGGTTTCAGTTCTATAAATAAAGCAAGGCTTTTCATTTCTATTAAAAAAAAAAAAATCAACAACTGGACAATTTTCTGAATTATTCGGTAAACACCCAGTATAGGTTACTGCACATTACAGATTATTTGGCAGCAACACAGTTTATAGTTTGGGGATCAGCTGCCAGATAGTCCCCAAGGTCAATGCAATGCAATGCTTGAGAAAGAGCAGAACAGCCGCCACAGCTGTCACTCGGTTGTGCAACCTGAGCCCTTATCTTTTGGCATACTCTGGCATTCAGGTCAGTGAGCACGAGCACGAGCAAGTTACCATCGCATTACCTCAGTCAGATAATAATCCAACAGGTCTACTCTTGGCCGCCCCGGACCCGGGTTCTTATTTCTACAGCTGGGGCAGGCTGTTCTGTGCCAGGGCAGTCTGCTGTGGAATGGCATTAAAGAAAACGACCGAATTGTTTTGGAGAGCCTCAGAAGAAATGTATTGTCAAACTTCCCCCTCCAAACAACTCCATTTTGAATGGGAACTGAACATGGAAACGATGCCTTGCCCAGGCCATGCAGGAAGTGCTTTAGGAATGATAGCATCCTTCTCATAGCTAGACAGCTGTATGCTCCTCTATATTCTCTTCACAGGGCAATAATATGGAAGATGTTGGCCACTGGGGACTCTAATCCAAAATGTTCTCCTCTGGCCTTTTACAAAATGCAAGTTGGCCCAAAGGAATTTACTCAAATTGACCAGAGCAGACTAATATAATTTAAAGAGTTCTGGCCTGAGGTGAATAAACTGTGTGGAAAAAAACAGCTATTATACCACACAAAGTGAGCCAGAAAATCCAGCACCTCTGGGACAATGTGTAACGTTCTCATAAAGAAAAAGCAATGTTTGATTTACGAATTAGTATTTTCTTGCACAGTCAGAGGGAGAAGTAATGTGATGGATGTTCTTTTTACAACAGGTCTCTTCTGAGTAATTTAAAACCACAGCAGAGTTAAGCTCCCGAGAGGTTTGAAGTGAACAGACCAGACAACCCCATGATGTCAAACAGGACCGAGGTTAGAGGGGAAACTGCCACCGCAGCTGCTTCTTTGTAAAGCTGCTGAAGCACCTCAAGACCTTGCAGGCCTTCGCTGCTCTGTTCCAGGACCCTCCTGTACCTGCCAGTCTGGTTATGCTGTAGTTTCGGTGGCTAGCAGAAGACTTTTCTAGAAATTTGATGAGCTCAAAGACATTTTTTCTTCAGCTGAGTTGCCCAAGTCCAAACATGAGACACCCATTAAGCAGGCAAGCTGCTATTCTATAGCAGAGCCTTGCATAGCTTCATAGCAAAGACAGTTCTTACCTTATTAAGTAACTTATTGATTTTGCTCATCGACTTCAGAGTCAATAACAATATGAAATTAAAGGGATTTAAATGGTTATAAAGGGGTTTATAGATAGAAGCAATTTAAGCGATAAATTGTCGCACATTGAATCAGAAGAATATTACTAATAAAGAATAGGGAAAGTTCACCGAAACAAATTGTAGCTTCCTCCCATGAACTGGGTAATGCTTTAGGTCTCTATATCCAGTTAGCTGGTGATACTAGATGATTTTTTCCTTAGCTCTGATCTTTATTTCTGTCTAGATATTTCTGATCATCTAACCTGCTTCAATAGCTGTAAAATGTGGAGCCTACCAGACTGGTTATTTGTATGAGTTGCTAAGAGTTATCTATTTCAATATTGAGACTTTGGAAGCCATTTCCTAACTGCTCAGGTAAGAGTGAATTAGGGTGTAGTCCTCTGCAAGACAGAAATCCAGTACGAGCCACAAGGAAAGAGAATCTAAACTGGAGGTACGAGCAGGCAGTATGCAGAAGAAACTCCCCTGTTGTTCCAAAGAACGTGACCAGCCGATCCCACTGCACATTTTTTTTAATTTAAAAAGTCTCTTATTTTTGCCAGTGAAATGTTCCAAAACTTTTTTTTCCAGAAGTGTAGTTTGAACATAAAGCTTCCTTGTAGAAAGTCCTTACTACTCCATACAGTCAGACTATCAGCTAGGATCTTCCCACGGAGCGTTCCAAGTGTGCACCAGATGAATAAACACTAACCCAGCAAGGCATTTCACCAGAGGGGAAAAAAAAAAAATGCTCTATCTTCCTGATAAGAGGTGACTAGAAGCCAAGTTTCTCTCCTTTGGAAATGAAAGGGTAAATCTAAAAGGATGATTAAATACTGAGATGACAATCTTGACAGGACTAATTTAGTGTTTCAAATAAGCCACTACACTTCTGTCAAACACTTCATTTATATCCACAGTCAAAAGTATGTTTTAAAGTTAGAGTGGAGTGGGTATAGCTGTAATGCCTTTCTTATTATTACCACCAGTTCAACACACAATAATTTTGGTTCTTGATCCAGATTTAAATGCATGCTTAATTTAATGTGCTGTGATTTACACTGATGAAAATGATACAAAGTTCTTTGCAGGTCTGCTTTAGTAGCAAATGCTTAAAATGCTTTGCTGACACAGGGCTTTGGCCCTTAGAAGCAACAAAGAAAAAAGAAAAACCTTTCCCACACGTATTAGCATTACTATGAAAAAGTAAAGCTTTTGGTTAGGGCAAATTCATCTCAATGCTTAAAGATAAATTCAATATTCTACCCTTTTGATTACCTTTGGTTTAGTTTTCAACAAAAAGGTTCACGATTCACTAGATGTCACCAGAAAGAGCTGCCTAGAAAGTCACTGAGGTCTATAAATCCGGATCACTACTTTGTACTTCACATCTAATTATCCAATAGCCTCTCCCAGACATCACAAGCCATCATGCAAATCCAATATCCAATTAAATTATTCAGTGATGCAAATTCCTGTGTTTAAAGTGCAGACAATAACACATGGCACTTTTTCATTCAGGGACTATATTTACTACAGATTCTGATAAAATTACCTTATTGGGAGGGGTTGCAAGAGCAATGGAAAATTGTTCTAACATTCTCAATCAAAAACTAAAAGAATGGGTTTTGTTTAATTTACTTAGTAGCATTAATAAAAATTACACACCTTCATAAAGATCACACTGAAAACTTTAGAAGAGTTACAGGGTTTGTTGAATCTAGCCTTCAGTAAAAATGTTTTTCAGAGCTAAGTTAGTTGCTGAATAAGAGAGATCTGTCTACCCTGTGCAGTGTCACGTTACTTCAAGTTACCCAAACCCGTAAGCCGGCCTATTGTTATAGCAAACTGCAGAACAACACAGTTTTAGTCCTAGACACTTGAGAAAAGTGATAACATCATCTTCTGAAAGACATTTGTGAACTTTATTGTAGTCCGTTGCTATAGTCATCTTTAATAAAACCTGTACTTTATATCCACAAGTGAAAATACCGAGCTGGTTTTTGTATCCAGGTGGGAAATTAGACTTAAATGACAAAATGGAAGAATTTGCTTACTGAATTCCAGTCATGAGCCTGTTTAGCAAAGATCCCTAACTTGACTTCCACCTGTGATGTCACAAACTGTCAGGTTGGACTCAGACAGCAGTAGCACGAAATCAGTGGAACCACACCTTTGCTAAACCAGTTGAAATAAGAGATATGCCATGAGACAAATGATCATTTTGAGAGATGCCATTGACTGCTAACACCTCCTCACTGTTACTGTATCAAATAGTCAACAAAGGAATAATGATTTTTCTCTGTGCTCTTTGCGGATAAGGTACCAAACTGAGGCCCTAGTTAAAAATGAGGATTCCTTAAGAGTAGGGATGTTCTCCACATTGCTTTAAGGCAAATTGATCTCGGATAATTACAGCCAGCCTACACAGCTGGCTCTCCAAGTTCTGGACGGATGCTGCAGCTTGCTCACCACCTCCGGCACACCACCACGCAGGTGTGGTGTAAGGAAGGTTTGCAATGGTAACAGCTGGAGTATTTAACCCACAGTGTCGCAACAGCAGGTAGAACAGGTCCTGTGTTATTTGTATGTCTGACAAGTGTTTGGTGGGGCAAAATGCTGTATAACACAGAAGAAATTATCTATCACACTGCTGTCCAAATCACTGTGCACACCCTATTGGACTTCTTCAACATAGTCATACAGCGACATAGGAAAACGGAATAAACGAGGGGAGGCCAGTACTGCTAGAGAAACTGAAACTGCATCTCATCTTACCTCAACAGTGAAGAGCTCAGATGTCACAAATGCGTGTTCTTGTTTGATATCCAAAACTCTAGACCAAACAAGGGATAAATTAGAGATCACAACAATCCTTTGTCATTCTAAAATAGTTTCTGTATGTGTTTGGACAGTAGTCATCTTTGCTGCTTTTTGTATTAGACATTTGTTCTATGCTGCAAAGGTGCTTGCACATTGGAACAAAAATGAAGGAAATAAAAGTCTTTTCTGAAATATAACAAGAAAAAGACTCTTTGATTAATTAGTTACCTACAGAGTTGCATTCAAAGGACATTTGGAAACATGTCCAAAGCTTTAATAGTCTTTGTGCTATTCTGTGATCGTATTTCCTTATTTCTAGTCTGATTTACCTTGCTTCTTCCCGAGCCAAAATCTCCAGTAGCTTTGAAATGTCTCCCGGGCTTTCAGAAAGCACAAGGGAAAATCTGCACACTCTGTTATCAAGGGTCAGGGCACGAGCTATGCACTGTTGCAGCAAATGTAGCTCCAAGTTTCCGCTGCATATAACGATTGCCACTCTGAAAACAGAGAGAAAAATAGGATTTTTGATTAGCACCTGTCTGTGCAAAGGAAGTGTAAATCACAGGCACTGTATTCAATATCAGCTTAAGATCCGCTAGGACTGCCCTTTGATAAATGTGTATTACATGTCAGAGGGGCTCCTGGCTCTCCACATCAGTTGTGGGCAGGCAGTGGGAGCCTAGAAGCTGGCTGCATTAGTTGGTCTGCAGCGTTGTTTGCATTTTGCATTTGCTGGAGATTTTAGTCCTGTTAGAGGTAATTAGCTGGAGAATTCTAGGTCTGTTTCGAATTTTTAAATGTGGCATCATTTTTCCCTGGAAATTCTGAGTGTCAGCCTCTTAACGGTTAGATAACGCGTATGTTCAAGGCTTTCTGTAACCATTAATTAAATCCATCTCAGCCCTGCACAATGAGTATAGAAATGTGTGAAGAACCACATGGTTAGTCCATGATAATTCTCTCTCTGCAGTCAACTCTGACCCCTTTAAACCCAAACCTGTGCATTTTCCCTTTTATTTTAGCTGTACTGAATTGAAATTTGCTGCTTTTCAGTTTGTACTCTGTCAGCCCTGCTGAAGAACTGCCTCAGCAGTGTTTTAGCATACAATGTTGTGCACTGGAAATTTTGTTTCGTCTTGAGTGCATGTATGTTTAAATACATTCTGGGCTATGTCCTGAGCCAAGGCTCAATCCGCTTAAGTACCGAGTACTCAAGCCCAGGTGCAAGAAGGCACTTACCCACACGTTTAACGCTAAGCGTAAGGGTAATTCCACTGACTATCTGGGCAGGAGTTCTTAGGGCTGGGAGGTAGTCACTGAGCGACTGCAGAAGACAGCCTAGCTCCTGTCCCACCACAGACAGCGCTGATTTCCACAGGTGGAATGAGAGAAGGCAACAGGCTGACAACAGCAGGACGCTCTCCTGGCAGATGTGACCATGTCTCATGGAGCTGTGTGTAACTGCCTTTCCCCCAATCATTTGAGAATACAGGAGAATGACAAGATTTGTCAGGTCTCCTGGCTGACATTTGTCTTGTTCAACATGGTCTTCTAACCCCCAAGCGGTCTCTTCAGCCTGAAGTAGATGCCACAGATGAGCCTATTGCTACGTCAGGGGCAGGAACTTCCTCGTTGCTCATAAAACAAGTAGCTTCTGTCTGTTTCCCGGGACCAAGGCACTCAACTGCATGCTCCTGCCACAGTTCCCTGTTTGCAATAGTTGCCGTACCTTTTACCCTTCAACTCAGGCAGCTTCCCTGCAACCAACGCTGCAAGTCCAATGGCCCCTTCTGCATCAACCGTGGCTCGCTCATACTCCAGCAATCTCAGCATCGAAATGAGGATGTCCTCCTCACTGAAGGCAAAAAAGTTGTGTCAAAACAAAACGAAACAAAACACCTACCGAGAGCAGAAAACAATACATTTATGTATAACTGGATTACTTCCATCCTCCCAGGTACGTATGACCCCAAGTTGGTGTTACAGAAAGCTGTGCTGCTGGGGGTGAATGTACATCTCAGTCTCGTTATTAACTGAAAAACAGGATGGCATTTTTTGCTAGAACTGTTGTGCTAGCTAAATCCTAGTGGTAAGTACATTCTGCCAACTTGGCCTTTCTGTGAAGTTTTAGATGAGTTTTGTCAAAGGCTGCCTTCAAGTGTTGTAGAACAGAAGGACAAGTTTTTCACCCAGAGCATGACCAAGTGAAGTTTTGGCCAAAGGGATCAGTCTGGATGACGCTCTTAGTCATATGATTTAGTTTTAGGGATTCCCATGAAGAGCAGGGAGTTGGACTCAATGATTCTTTATGGGTATCTTCCAACTTGAGATAGTCTATGATTCTATGATATGCGGGATTTGGTTCAGTGTCTTCAGTGCCCCCCTTGGAAAGAAAAGGACCCCACCACCAGCATGCTCGGTGCATAGTGTGTGCATGATGGCAATTCCTGCCAACCTGCTCTCCACTGTACACGAAGAACCACCATATCCTGGTGATACAGTATATTTTTCATACACAACAATGTTCACCCAGTATTATTCATTTCACTGCTTTTCTTCACCTACCTCACAGCAACAACTTTATCCACAAGTTTCCCAGTCAGCTGCAAAGAGTTGCTACCAAAGCAAAGCCCACTCACATCTGCAAATTTCAAACGACAATATATGAAGCTGGATACTTTAGACAAGTTCAACATTTTTTAGAGTCCTAACAGTTTTGTGCCCTTAATGAGTGCAGCACAATACTGTTATATGATCTTAAGTTGCTTGATTTTTTTATATGACAAAAACATATTTGGTAATGAAAGACCAAATTTCCCAGGAAGATTTAGGCATTTTTGACCCCTTTAAGAAAATTATGATTCTTCACTAGCATAGTTGCACTGCAAGTGCAAGAGTGAACCTGCAGCCCAGTGCTTTTCACTGTTCAAAGAGGCTGGAAGGAGAGAAGAACCAAGAGTGGCACTGGGTTTGTTAGCTACAACAGGACAGTTAGCAAAGGAGTGCAGAGACAAGCAGAGCTTACCAGCAGAGTTAAGTTGTTTGTTTATAAAACTCCCATTTAACCCAAAGCTTCCAGAGATTTGAATATCAGGTAAACGGTATATTCTTAAATTGTTTAACAGCTGAGGTTTTTTGAGCAAATGATGTGGAAACAACGTATTGTTTATAAATGCTGCTGTTGCGAGAACAGTTTTGTGAGCCTAAATATTTAAGCACTACATTTTCCTGCCTTTTCACAAATTAGGCTTTTACACGAGAGCTTTTCCATTGACTTCACTGGTTAAGATGCTGCTTTTGAGCACAATGGTCAGATAAATACTCTCATATTTCTAAGTATTCACCTGAACATTGCATGTGCACTGAAAACAGTATTGCACCCTGGAGGGTGGGGGGGGAAATGTGTCAGGAGTTGCTCTTACAGCACAAATTAAATTCTGACTCTTCAGATATTTCCTTTAACATATGTTTGAACTGAATTAGTGAGGAAAAAAATACGGTTGGAGAAATCAATTACAACCATATTTTACCCTCAAAAGAATAATCCATTTTCTTACCTCCGTAAAAGTGATGATTACTGCAAGCCTGGTCTTCAATTGGGTGGCCAGCCTTTAAGGACTGTTGCAATACAGGGAAACTTTCAGATTCGACCCCCTGGGGAAGACAAGTACTGTCACTTTTTTACTGATCAAGTTATAACAGAAGTCACCACCAAAGTGGACACCAAAAAAGCTATGCAAAGTTTAGAATGAACCATTAATTTCAAATTTCATAATAACTATGCTATAACTAAATTTATTCTGTGGCTTATTTAGGGCCAAACTTTTCCCATAAGAAATTATTTCAAAGCACAGAACTGATTTTGTTTGCTTTGGAAGAGTTTTACCACATTTTTTCTTAAACCCAGTGTTTCAGAGGCTCTTTTAGGTGAAGCCCAGGGGCACAGATAGTCCCTATGTATATCCCTAGCATATGTAGTCTCTGCCGGTGTATCACTGGATACTGGTGCCTTTTCAGAATCATTAAGGTTGGAAAAGACCTTCAAGATCATCAAGTCCAACTGTTAACCCAACACCACCATGTCCCCTAAACCATGTCCTGAAGTGCCACATCCACACGTTTTTTGAACACTTCCAGAGATGGCGACTCCACCACCTCCCTGGGCAGCCTGTTCCAATGCCTGACCACCCTCTCGGGGAAGAAATTTTTCCTAATATCCAATCTAAACCTCCCCTGGCGCAACCTGAGGCCATTTCCTCTTGTCCTATTGCTGGTTACTTGGGAGAAGAGACCAACACCCACGTCGCCACAACCCCCTTTCAGGTAGTTGTAGAGAGCGATAAGGTCTCCCCTCAGCCTCCTCTTCTCCAGACTGAACAACCCCAGTTCCCTCAGCTGCTCCTCATAAGACTTGTGCTCCAGACCCCTCACCAGCTTCGTTGCCCTTCTCCGGACACGCTCCAGCACCTCAACATCCTTCTTGTAGTGAGGGGCCCAAAACTGAACACAGGATTCGAGGTGCGGCCTCACCAGTGCCGAGTACAGGGGCACAATCACTGCCCTACTCCTGCTGGCCACACTATTCCTGATACAGGCCAGGACGCTGCTGGCCTTCTTGGCCACCTGGGCACACTGTTTTGAAAATATCTGTAGCAAAAGCTGCCATAATGCGACGCTTTACAGGTGAAAGGAAACTTACAATTACAGAAATATGTGGGCTGAGGTGTTTGAGTGCTGCAGCCGACCCTGCCAGCAAGCCACAGTGGCCTCCTGCAGGGAAAATCACTGCGTCCAGCTTTGGCACCTGCTCGTAGACCTCCAGCCCCACGGTCCCCAGGCCCGACAGGTAGACAGCACTATCCTCCCTGCAGGAAGGAAGGGCAAAGCTCAGCAGGGCTCTCAATAATAGTTCAACCTACCGCTTTAAAGACATTGTTCAGCAGAAAAAGATACACGCGAGAGTAAATCACCAGCACAACAAGGTCAGGAGGCAATACAACAGGACGCTGCCGTCACACCATCGTGGGCTTTGTAAAGTGTGACATTACCTACTGGGAGAAAACTTGCGCTGTTGCAAACCCCCCGAAATAGCCTTCAGGCTGAAGGACACGTATCTCTGTTGTTACCAATATCAGGTGTTTACAGAGCTGCTAAGGACAGAAGTCATGTTTCCATTGCCTAAGCTTCCTAAATTTTAAATGTTGCAGTCCAAGCTAAAGGCAGAGTCTCAAGATTAGACCTCCTTGTCTGTACACAAGAAAAAAAATGGACTCTCAAGGAAGGAAGGTGTGTAATTTATAAGGGGAATTTAGTGTTTGTGATAAATGGGAATTTTTGTGACATTTAAGCACTGCGTTCAACCTCACAAATACCAAACAGATTGCTGCAGAGCTAAGTCTTTCCACAATCCAGAGCCAATATCTGATACCTTCATATTACTCTCGAAGGCTCTGGAAGGATAAGAGAAGCATTTAGTCATGCCAAAATACTCACTGGTAAAACACTTTCAGGAAAAGGTAATTTAATGAGCAGAATAGGGACAGACAGAGTCAAATATTGAAGAAAAGTCCACTGTCACACAATTGACTTGGATCTATTTATAAAAGCGGTTTGGGGCCTTATTTAAAAGTTAGCAATCATGTAAATGTAGAATGATATGTGCATGAAAAATATGAGACCTCTGTGTGCCAGTATATTCTGCCTTTTCTGGCAAACGGATACATAAAGAGAATTATAGACCCAATGACTTCACTTGATTTACTCTACCGGGGATGTTTGGGTAGTAGGAAGCTATGCTTTTATTGCTGCTAGACATGCACAGAGGGGCTCAGCACAGGAGCACAGAATGCCTGCAAGGTGGAGACCAAGGCCGCCTTGAGGAGTTACCTCACATATATAGCAAAATACAGCAAATTCCTCATAGCAAGAGTCTGTATAACTACACAAGAAAGGGTGGGAAGAATGAACTTTCGCTCCTGTAGCACAGCTAATGAAGGCAAGAGATCATAGTGGAATGGGTAACCGAACCCTTGAATTTATTGTCTTTATCAAGATATACTGAAGGAAATCTCTCCTCCTTCTTATATGTGACAAAATATATCACTGGTCTCCTGGACAACTCCTTTGGAGCCTTACTTGCAAATAAGATTCAGAACTGAGTTTGCAGAGTTACCCCTGCCATGGTTACATGGGAACCTGAAGAAATGTATGAGGACCTGGGTTATTCAATTTACAAGTAAAACTTCTCTAACAGCTGCAAATTCTGTCCGAAGCAGACTGCTCTGGGCATGGAGATATATTAGCAGTTTGAATGAATGTTTCAGATAATCATGTTTTCCTTGCTAACATTTAGTTAGAAGACCGGTTCACTGGTCAGACTTCAGCTTTTTATAATAAAATTAATTATTTTATTTGCACTGTGACTTTGCTTTGTGAAAGCAAACCTCTTGCTTTCAGTATCTTATGCCATTAAAAAAAAAAATCAAGGAAAAGGGCAGATAAATCTAAAGACTATAAATTTAAACTAGCATTTTTTAGTCAGAGCTAAAAATCTGGCCATTTGACTTCTGAAATGTGTAATACATCAGCAATCAAAGATGGGCTGTCAGGCTTCAGTTTCCCAATGAAATTTTGACATGATAGCTGGCAGGCTCTGTTCCCCTGTTCTCCAAATAAAGGGCTCAAAAGCTATCGGTCATCCTTCCTAGAGTAACAGACTAATCAGATCGCAAATGAACAAGGTTCAGGTCTGATCAGTACTTGGATACGGAGCTATACAAGAAAAAAAATGGACTCTCAAGGAAGGAAGGAAGGTGTGTAATTCAATCTGTAGCACTCTTACCTCTCTGATTCACAAATCAATCTTTCTCACATCATCCCAGAGGTACTGTGTTACTTATTGGCAATCTTCTCATTGCATTTATAATGAGGTCCTGAACATCTATAGTAACTAAAAATCCCATGTTACCTAAGCAACTTCACGACTGAATTCCAACTGGAAAAAACACATTTCCTTTCTGGCATTTCACAGGAAGTTGCAGTTGGATAAAAAGTTTCCTTCCTCCAGTTGAGCTCTTGCATGATCATTTTCATAACACAGTATTTAAATTGCACTCAAACGGGAAGAACTGACATTGATACACCCAACTGCGGGACATTACCCACGCAGGTAAAACCAAAGACAGTCATACAATGTCTACTTCAAAAAGGATAGAATGAGTTGTTGGTTAAGGAGATCCAGAGACCAAATTGCTAGGGATTTTATGCAGGCTAGAATTAAACTGAAATAAAATGACATTTCAGAAGTTCCATTCTAAAGCACAGGAGATCAGCTGACGTTTTACAGAGAGCAAGTGACGATGAATGCGTGTCAGAGACACATTGAAGAAGTCTGGCTCTCCATATATGCATACACGTCTCTGGAAAAGCTCTACCCAGCCTACACCTAACAAAATATGTTTCAGGCATCCCATTATGAAAAGGCTTACAATTGTAGTGGGGTGGTGGGGTTTGTTTGTTTGCTTGCTTGTTTTTTCCTCCAAAGTGTGAAAAATTGCATCTATGGGGTTTTAATTAAACATAGTAACAGATTGAATAACTCAGTTTCTTGTAACCTGAAATACAATAAATCAGAGTGCTTTGATATTATTAATGGTAACATGTACGTTAGAGTTCCTCAATTCTAAATGCTGAAGTCCATCACACGCGTTGTCCCTGGAGCTCCATGAACTGGGAGAATATCTACCTTATGTAACATGAATAATTATTTGGAGAGGAGGGGGAAGATTAAATGTGTAATTACAATAAAATAATTTAGTTCTTACGTGCAAATGTGATAGCTGGTGCAAGCCAGCTGGGAGTTAATATATAATTGAAAAATGGCTGACAGAGATTTGGAAATCACAAGGTTATGGAAAGCTGTGGTTTTCAAAGAGAGCCCAAATGGGTTTAAAATTCAGTGGGATCTAGGGTACCTCATTCCCTTGGCTTGCTTTGAAAGTGTCAGTCTGGGACATGGTTGTGCCCATGGTGACAGACAGAGCACGGCAACCAGCCCCGCGGGTCACTTGCTGTCGTCAGAGCTAACAGTGCAGTTGAAGAGTACAGTTTTTAATACTGCCTTCCCAATAAACCCACTGGGAAAGAAGTGAGGACTGTCTCCATTCTGCAATCCTCTTTCCAAGCAACATTACTTACTATTACTATGTTTAAAGCAGCAGTGCCTAGGAGCCGAAAGGGGAACGGGCTCTCCCCGCAGAAGGTACCATGCAAACACGACGTGCTGGACAACGCCTGCACAGAGGCAGGGAGGGACAATAACATTCCAGCTCTGCATCAGAGGGACTGCCAGCTACCTCATGCTAATGGTTCACCCCTCAGCGCTTTTGGAAATCTTACTTGAACAAAGGTAAGGAAAAAAAAGGAAAAGGGAAGGAAAAGGCAGAAGAGACTGCAGCGAGAAAAGGAAAAAGAGGGAAAATGGATCAGTTCTAAATATTTTTGCCTGTCCTATCTTACTCTAACCATGTTTTTATTGGATCCAGCTTGTTCAAATAATTCAAACTTAAATTTATACTCAACCTTATCTACCTTAAATATATGTGTGAAGTAGCCACTTAATCATCTTTTTTCAAGGCAGAATCAGTTTTGTCAGTCACACCAGATATGCAAAAATTTTACAGGATTAACCTTCTCTTGCTCTACACTATGTCACTGAAGCCTTTACATTAAAGATAAGCTTTCACCCACCTCAGTCCAAACAAAGAGACCAAAAATGAATGCTAGACTTCATGCTTTCTGACAGGGTTCATAAAGAGTACATATCATATATCCATTATCATACTAGCCCATATAATTCCTAATCAGGAGGTTTGCCTAATTTTGGGGAAAAGAGGTGTGTTTCATTTTGGTTTCCATACCCAACCGTTACCAAAAGATTCGTGATTCGTGCCTGGGAATATGTAACTGTCCACACCTGAGGTAATGGCAACATTTTGATGACGTGTGATCAAATTTTAATGAAACTATTTGTTTTTGCAGAGCTGCACAAGTATCTAATCTTTCTAATCAGTCTGACTTTCCACTTACTCTTCAAGGTAGAGGTAACCATTCTCCTGTGCCAACCTTCTTGCGTGCGTCTGGGAGTCCTTAGCTGTAGTGCCGTAGGATACGACCATGGCACCATACTCACGGCACATTTTCACTCTGGCCGGGGACGTGCTGGTTGACATGATGACAAACACTGGAATACGGAGCTCTGAGGCGTGGTAAGCAACAGCCATGGAAAAGTTACTGTCTGAAGCCACGATCACCCCCTTTCTTTGCTGATCCTAAAAAGACAGGGTTGCTTATTGCACATTACATCGTGTCACAAAGTTGTCCCAAATGATCCTAGATCATTCTAAAGGCCTGACTTCCTTCTTTTGCTTATCTATTTGATCGTATTATGATACGATACAGTATATGCATGTCTGGTGTGATCTCAGGACTTACACACAGAGCTAAGACAGCATGGGATCAATCCCTGTTCCTGCACTCCTCTGGATTCAATTCTTGTTCCACTGGAATTTGCTGCAAAACTCAAACTGATCCCAGAAGAGCCATTATCTGGCCCCCAAAGCTCATATCTGGTCCCTTTTCCTTGTCTGTGTGGAATTATTTCATTTCACGTTTCTCTTTAATAGAAGGATTTACTCCTATTATTACAAAAGTGCAGGAATAACCACTGTTTCTGGGCTGCTGTATCATGCCAATCATAATTATTGCTGCAGAGACTCAGTAACCTCCTACGACAAATGACAAACAAGCTATTCATGTAATGATAGTGAAATTCATTACAAAATCAGTTGGTAATCTGGATCCTATTCATCACCCATTGTAACTCAATTTCATCATCACTTGAAGTTTGGTGGTTTCAACATGTCAGAACCATAGTACGCATACACTTTCATCTAAATGCCACAGAAAAATGCTGATGTTTACATTTTGCAAGATTTTTTTTCCAAATATTTTTAAGCATTTCACCAGCAGATCAGCCAAGCATAAATAAAGTAGTATTTTACATTCAGATACTTGCAGACCTATCTACGTTGTTCAGCACAATGGTTCAAAAAGCAAGAAACACTGCGATTCCACAGACATTACGGGTAATGTAGTTCTGCTTTTTGTGAAGCAGAACTAATCCATTTCTTTTTGAACATTGGCATTTTGTTATACCTGAGGCAATGATGTCAGAAGGTAAAGTACACCTCGTTCCTTCACAGATCCTGTGTACTGGAGGAACTCTTTCTTTAGGTAGATGTCCATTCCATACTGCTTGGATAGCCTAGAATACTGGAGTATAGAAACATTATTATGGGGATGTGTCTAAAATGAAGAAAGATCTTCCACACCCCATCAGGTCCCCGGTGAGGCGTGCATTCAACTGCTATGTATGAGCTCTAAAAAGTAAATTTCATAATCTGTTTCTTTAGAAATACATGACAGTGTGTTGTTACCTATCAGATTTTCTAGTTTATGGAAGTAATTTTCAAACTCGCAGCAGTGAAATATGTACCCCATGACATTATGAAGTCTGAAAATAGCACTTATTTTGGTCTTACTGTTCAAATACAGATATTAAAATAAGTATTTTCAATTATTTCAAAAACCACCCTATAGTCTGATATTTTAGCACTTGCCATGACTGGATATTGAATGCCCCAAAAAGAAGGTCACCTCCTAATAGATAAAAAAGCAGTTAGAAAAGTCCTTCTTGAGTCCCGTTATGACTCTGCTATGGTTTCTGCCACTGACTCGCTACTGAATATTGTCCATTTTGCATCCTAAGGCCAGTATGACATTAGTACAGACATTTCTTATTTGAAGAATGATGGAAATAATAAAAAATTTTTCCCAGGATTGCAAGTGTAAGCAGCATCTGTTTGAAAAAGCTCACTGTTTAGAACAGAAACGATCCCTGGGCTGAGAGGCATTAGCAAGGATAGTACATGCGGTGCAATGTCAAAGTGCATGGTATTTTTTTTTTTTTTAATGGCAAACCTTTATCTTTTTTTATAGTAAGACACCAACAGCATGCATCACCATATAAATTTCCTATTTCCTCATTATCTAAAACAAGAGTTTTAAACAAAATAATTTATGAAATAGAGCTACAGTAAGCCTGTGGGTTCTAGCTCCCTAGGCTTACTGCATCTCTATTTCATAACTGGCTCTATTCCTTCCACTGGCTGCCAAAGCAAATGGACCTGGGGAATTAGGGGATCAAGCCCTCATTTATGATAAGTCACTGAGAGAGATAGATTAAAAGAAAGCATGACAATATATTTTAAATATTTATCTCAAAAAGTATCTGGCAGCGTCATGTGTATGGTGTACAGCGTACATAGTAACATGTAGTGACATCTTTTTCAGACTGGGACTTTCAATGTGAATTTGTGTAAATAAAGCAAGTACCTATTTCAGAGATAAGGTATGCAATTAAACTAAGAATTTAAGATGAATGTTGCAAGGCTTTTTAGTGGATTTACAAGCATATATTAAGTTCCTCACCCATAGGTGGGGCCAGATTCTCTATTTTGCTTCTGAAAATCCTGCAACAGGAGCTACCACCTACTGCTGCTTTGCAAATCTGCCTGCCGAACTGAAAGAATGGAAAGTGCTTAGTGCACTAATAGGATAATAGTTCCTATCCTAAACAGCCTAATCTATGGAGAATGTATATGCAAAACAGAAAAAAGAACACTAACAAGAAACACTACTGTTCTTCACATACCGTACTAGTTTTACAGTTTTTTGTTTTTGTAGAGAATCTTAGATTCTAGAGTGAACAATGAGAAAAAGGATTTAAGGAGATGAATCTTGTGACTTTATGAAGTTGCTAAGTCTCCTATATTTAAAAATATGTGTTGTTAAATCACTCTTTACCACAGAGGTGGTGTACTTCAGATTTTTATTATTTTTCTTTAATTTTGATACTCAATATTTTAACTCTTTAGGTTATCCTTTTCTGCTTCCTTTAATTGAATCTTTTTTTCATGTAGCCTGAATATAGCAATTACTTCTAACAAAGGAGGTGTCAACGCTATTTTCAGCTGTACTGACCTGATGTGTGACCTTGTAAGACTCATTGAACCGGCTGGTAAGTTTTCCCTTTTGTCACTGTGATCTTATCTAAGGACTACAGATACTGCGTCTAACGTACAACACACAGCACAGCCTCCATTTGGCATCCACAAAGCTAACACAAAACAACCCTCAAAGTTCCTACACCAGTAACTAAACCAAGTGCCTGATTTAATGCTAGTTCCTTGTTTTTCCTATATTCAGTACCTTTGTAACATCCGTTACAATCATCCATGGTGCCATATATCAGCTCCAGGCAAACTCCTGCATAAGGACGACCCAGGACGCTCCATCCGTGGTCTTACCTGCAGATTAGGAATCACCCTGCAAAGTGTTTCTCCCTTCAAGTAACTGTATGGGTTATAGTCATGCTCGCTTTTTAAATCCATACAAATGTGCCTACAAGGGGCTCTTACCCCTCAGTGATGAGTTAAGATAAAGGTTATCTGTGTTTTTCTTGATACCACTCTGTGTTTTCAATACTTTCTTTTTGAATCAGTGCATGAAACATATACTAATGACTTCTGCGGGAACATTACTTTCAATAGCAACAGTCATGGGCTATTTTCACACTAGAACAAGCGGGGGTATAGGTTTTCCACTATTCTGATCATCCCAAAAGCATAGTACCTGCATAAAAAGAGACTACAGAAAATTAGCTTGTTTATGGACTCAGTGGCACAGTCTTGCCTTTTCCTGCATTAGGGTGTGTTGGGAGCAAGAACGTGGCCCAGGGAATGGGGCTGAGATTTTACTAGTTTGGCAGAGGTGCACAATGCCATGAGCTGCAGGGAAGATATGATTCAGGCTGTTGAAGGGTACAGAGCTATCTAGTTCTGCTTTCCAAATTAAGCCCTGACACTCACCCTCTCCCAGCCCATAGACCCACCTTTGTAGAGCACGATTAAACCCATTTAACAAATATGACCAGAGTTGTCAATTACAGAGAAGCGCAGTGCTCCCTACCTGCAATATAAATGCAAACCTTCTCTTCCTGGGACAGTCTCTCCACAAAAGCAGAAGACTGACACTTCTGCCCAGATCACTGCCTGTGCTCTCAAGCATGACAGCCTGAGAGCTTTGGTGACAAACGATGTAATACACATTACACATTTTGGTATGCTCCCTCTGTTCTTCCCTCTGGCCCCCGACCACCCATGCTGCACACGTGTTTGCTTGCTCCTCCAGCTGCCTTCCTGTGCAAGCCAACTTTTCCACTCTGAAAGGAAATCCAGGTACAGCTGGCAGGATGTTTTACTCCCAAGTCACTCTGAACAGGCAGCACATGAATGTAAAACGCATCCAGTTTGACTCCTGCACTCCAGCCAACACTAGTCTGCAAGTTTTTTGTGCCACCTTACAGCACCAGACTGTCTCGTATCATGTGCTTTGTCACGAGACACACTTCTTCAGTAGTATGCTACAAGAACCACAGGTATCCTTATTTTGGGAACTCTGAGATTAAAAAAAAAACCCGCAGAAAGCCATTATGATGTCTCTGCATCAGCAGGCACCACCTGAGAACCAGGAGAACTGTGTCTTGCAGACCAAACCGCTTTGCTCTGGGGACTATTATACCCCAAACAGTGGCTCAGACACCAAGGTCCTTTCCTGGTGCAGGCCAGAAAGGCAATCCACGGGTAGAGAGGCTGGTGGGGTGCCCCCGGGCAGCAACAGGGAGGGATTCATCGAGGGAGCTCTTTGGGGCTGCTGTTATGAATTGCCATTTGGCAAAGATGCTCTTTTCACCCACCGCAGGCAAAAGAGGAGATTACCCACAGAGTGCATAGAGTAGCCTTCTTGAAGAGTTCCCAACAGTAGAAATACACTGTGAATTTAATAGCTTGCCACTGTACTTCTCTTACGCTTTCGCAAATGCTTGTACATTTATGGGAGTGTCTCAGTCATTTTCATACCTAGACTCATTGATAGCTGCATATGTTTGTGTGTGTCTATCTTAATGTCCTTGTTTTGTTGAAGATGCACGTGGCAGAACCACCTGGTTACAGAATTTATCCAGCCTTGCCAGGCTGGCCAGGCTAGGAAGGAAGATCTGTACCTTCAAACTCTCCAAATATGAGGGCTGGTTCCAAATCAGACCCTCCCACAAGACGGCTTACCCAAACACTGATAGTCGGCCGTCTCCGTCTCAGGTTCCTTGCAAGAGTTTTTCACCGGGAGCGTAATACCACAGTGCATTAAGTCTATGCCTAATGTGGTTTATCCTTTGTTTACAGGTCACTGCAATCTTTGAGGATTTAGGTTAGTGTAAACAAGTATGAAGAAAATGCTTATTGACAGTTAACAACAACTAATATGAACAGGAGTTGTTTTACACAGATCTATCTGCTGCAACTCACACATACTCTTCATTCATTTCCGAGCAACTTTTATAACGCAAATAAAAGAAATACTGAGAGAATGCAAATCCATATAAACTCCCTACCATGCAGGGGGTTTTCTGAACACCGCACTGGATTTTGAAAGCTGCTGCACTAATATCTTCAAATCGAATCAGCTTGTTATAGCTTGACAGGCTGCTCCTACTGCTTGACTGAGGGATGCGGGAAAGGGCATCCCTAAGTAACTCATCATTACGGCTCACTATCTTCATTTCCCAGGTCTTCACATCCCCGTTCAGGTAATCCTCCTCACCAAAATCTTTCAGTCTCTCAGGATTGATAGAGGGTGGTTTCTGCCCAATAAGGCCATTTCTTATTGGCCCATCCTTACAAGAGTGAAGATCACAAAGCGCTGGGGCATCTTGTTTCTTTATTTTATTGTCATCCCTAAAAACAAATAAAAGAAACTTGTTAGGAAAGCTTGGGTGATTAAAGGCTTGACATTAAGCATTTAAGAAGGATGCGCATCTCAGTTGCTCTTTGCAAGCCTCAAATAGGCACACTGAATTATTACCGTCATATTGCCTTATCTTGCAGATGGATTGAAAGCTACTGTAACCAGCCAGCTTTTAGAAAAGCCAGATAATCTTTCATGTGGACAAACAGGGAAACTGTCATACCCAAGAAAATAAGAAAGGTATAGTCCGTGCTGTCTGGGCAGCCAGACCTTCCTCAGTACTCAGGCTCAACTGGCAATGATCCCAGTTCAGTGCTTCCAGAAATTTTGGAATAACTGGAATTGTATTTACTGTATGCAATTCCATGTTTTTTCAAAAAAGGCTAATAGCTGCTGCAGAGCATTCCCTAATACTATTAATAGCAGTAACAAATGTCGTTATGTTGTACACAAGAGGTCTGCTTCTCTGCTCTTGCATACTTGCAGAGCATACTCTTGACAGTCATCAACTGCCTCGTGACGGGAAGGAAAGTACTTTGATAAGGGATAATAATTATATCCTACTACAGAGCTAAAGAACTAGGTCTCCTGATCCATGAGTTAACACTTCATAGATAAAAACACCTGTAGATAAGACAACACCATGATGCCACACAAACCTCCTTCCCCAAGAAACTTTGGAGAGACAACACTGCTACAAAAATTTGCCAGTTTTCCTACCTTTAACTGCCTTACTCTATGGTCCACAGTGTTCAGGAGTTCACAAGGGATAATATGCTACAGTGTAGGATTTTTAGCCCTACAAATAGATGCAAAATTTCTAGGAATTCTTGGAATTTGGAGAGTAATGTGGGGAAAAAAGAGCATTAAGGAGAAGACCAGTGATTTGGAAAAGAGCTGACACCATCCCAGGTCTGTGGCTATGCTTACACAGATGGTATAAACCCCTCTACATGAAGCACTCAGTATTAATCTATTTGGAAGAAAGGCTTTTCTAAAAAATATACATGTTAAATTATGTCAGTTATTTCAGCATCATCTCCAACAAAAAACACTTACTAAATCCAAATTATTTTTTTAAAATAAGTGACGCAGTTATTCATCAGCAGGGCTGGCTAAAGCCAATGCTGCCCTAGTTTTACAGCAGCGATCAGCACTGTAATATGCATTGTAATAATTTCTAAAAAGAATTTAAAAATATTTAGAAACAGCTGCTTTTTGAGCAATGGCCCCACATTTGGCAGTGTCATCCATTTTCTTTGTGGTCCCAATAATCTGTGCCTGTAGCTCTGCTTCCTATTACACTTCCAATTGTTCCACTGAGGACTTCACATAACAATATGGGCAACAGAAAAGGTTTTGTTATTTGCATCAAGTAATATACTAGTAGCATCAATCATCCTGTATATCCTCACAGGAGGCAAAAAAGGACAATTTTTGTAGCCAGGTTTTCTCTTTCCAAAAATTAATGAGATCAACACTTATTTTCTAAGATAAATAAATAATTTACACATTTGTAACTTGTTTATGTTGAAACCTGTGATTTAAAGTATTTTCCCAATACAGCATCTTAAAGCTGATATACCCGAACACCAGGCATTCGGCCTTCAAATTAAATAGCTTATCAAGTAGCTCTATTCCATACTTTTCTGCATTTCTGCTCCTTTGAGGTTAGAGGGTTGGAACGCTTCATAAAGATGTTAAGCTTCCGCTGTCCGTTCTCATGCATATTAGTCAGCTTAACGCAAAGATGAGAATCAGATCAGACTGTCTCCCTGTGAACTTGTTACAGCACAGCCCCTGGCAAAAACAACACCTACCATCATCTAAGAGGCCACATTGCTGTTAAGAGTTCATTCTCCATCTCCCCCCCCAAAAAGAAATTTTCCGTATCACAGTAGCCCACAACCACTCCAAAAAGAGAAGAACATATACATCTTTTCTCTAAACATATTATCTAAAATGATTAGCAATGAATGATATTTCTTACCCTGGCAATGGGTTAAAAGGGTGTACGTAGGGTAAAACTTATAGGTAGGTCAAAAATTTGTGATTTTTCTAGGTCAAATATTTTTTTACTCACTGGCATTCACACTTTTTCCTTGCATCTGTTGCACTCAACTACAAAAAGTCCATAAAAGACCCCAAAGATGACCAAAAAAGTCTATTGATGAACCAGGATTCTGCTAGAAAGTACAAACTACAGGGCAATGCCTTACCACACTAGTACCATCAAATGTTTTTATCTGCAAGTAGAAAGACCAACATGGGACACTGATTTTTGGCCCTACTCTCGGATTTCCTTTTTTTGGCAGAACAAAAGAGGGAAGTAAATCAGATTCTCAGCCCTTGATCTGCAGCACTGCTCTCATGAACGGTGAATATCTGCTCAGGACCCTGATGGAGACAACACCTTATGACCACTGGCAAAAAAGAAGTCAATCAGCTGTAAAATAGGTGTAGGCTTTTAAACCTTGACATGGGTTTAAAGCACATCTGAAACATTACCATCTCAACATTTAATATGGAAACTGTCCTCCATTTGCATCTGAAAGGTCAGCAGCCTCATTACCAAAGGAATATCATCATACTATTGTATATGTATGTATCGTCTATCTTTATTTCAAATGAATTTTTGTTCTATGTACATATTTTTCATTTACATGACATTTTTCCCTATTGAACCCACCTGGGTATGACACAGACCCACTGAGAGCTCTTAAACTCCCAAGGTAAACAGTGGGTTGAAGTTTGGTAATCTATCACAAACAGGAAACTAATAACCCTGTTGGGTCAGACGCATTTCCTAACTCAAACACAGTTCATATGCTTGCCATAGATCACCTCAGTATGAATTTCTTTTGCAGGGACAGTCAACGCAGGCAGCAAAGCATGCAAGTGCTCACACAGAAACAACACGTGACTTCTCATGCACTGTAACAAAATATAGCCCCTATTCTAGCGATCATGCCCACCAGATGAAAATCTGAGCCAATATAAATACAAACCCCAGCATTATAAAACATTGCTCCTTTCAAATGGATCGCTTTTCCTTTTTTGGAATTTGTCTACAAAAGTTTTCATAAAAAAGTCTGTTTATTTCCAGCCATAAAACAAATATCCAGCTGGCAAGCTTTGTTACATGGTTATAAATTATGAGATTTTACCTTTAAAGTCATTAGTAAAAGCAAACATGAAAATACAGTTTATAAACCTACTTTTTCAAGAACAGCTGCTCAGCATAACTGCAAAAAATAAAAGAGAAGATCCATATGCAGACATTCCATGAATAATTAAGGAACTGGAAAAAATATCATTTGTTTAAGCAGATAGCTTTACATAGTTTAAAGTCTCAAAGTCAGCGTATGCTGAAACGTACTCTTAGAATGACAAAAAGCAACAACTCGGCATGAATAATTCTTCTGTTTCCAGTTTGGTTTTTTGCATACACTGATAAATTTCATCAAGTTAAATAGCACTGGGGAAAACAAGTTTGGAAAAATAGTAGCATTAATAAACTAAGAAATTAACAAAACCAACAAAAATAATTTTGGGACAATAAAATGCAGTAATAGCGCATACTATACCTAAAGACCACAACTGTTGCCTTTGTTACAAGGAGAAAGAAATGCCCACGCAGTTATCCTGCAATGATGGGACAATTACATGTCCCCACCAGATGAACACACATGCAGCTTGCCTTCCTCAGGATCCGTGAAACAGACTAAGCAGATTAACTGATACAGAGGATCTCTTCAGCTTCTAAAACTGAAGGTGCAAAAAAAAAAAAAATCTACAAAGTCACGGATGCCCAGGAGATAGCACACTGGGAAGGATTAGTCAACGTTTTTCCCAGTATAAATGTTAGGGGGACATCATATGAAAGTATCAGATAGAAAATTTAAAAGTGTCCTTCTTACAGAAAATAATTAGCTCACAGAACTCATTGCCACAGGATGCTATGAAGGACAGTGGTATAAATGGGTTCTTAAAAAAATTGTGCACCTATAGGAAGTAGGTGTAACAGTGGCCAATAAACACATCACTGAAGAAGCCCCTCAGCACTTACTTGGCAGACTCCATGAGAGCATATGAGAGAAAGCATCTTAGGTGGCTTTTATTTTTCTCCAAGCTCCTGTTGTTGGCCACCACTACAGGGAAGACACAGAGGTAGACTGCTCTTTGGTGTGACGCAGTGCTGCCATTTTGATTTGCAGATGTACCCAGTGTCAGCATTTGACCCATTTGGTGCTTTTAGACTTCTTACATAATGAGTCACAACGAGGCAGAAATGAAGTTGGAATTATGCACATACATTCCCATGTTACTTCACAGAGAGAAATTCAAAGTGTCACAATAGGAAACAGATACATTTTGGTGTAAGACTGAAAACTCACCATTTCTTTGTCATTTCTACAGCACACTCACCACAACGAGCGACTGACAGTATTGTACAAGTCCTGTAGAGTATTTTAGCATCCCTAATAGGTCTATGCCATGACAAGAATTTCAAACTCCAGTGCCTAACTAGGACCGATCAGTGGCATAGCGCAAACTGGCGAAGCGTAAGCTCGAATGCCCCTTCAAAACATTCCGATCAATTGGGGCTAGCCTGTAATTAACTCATCAGCACACATATGCGTGCTCTCTATGTGTGCATTCTTAAATTTCATTCTTTTTTATTGTTTTGGGGGTAAGGGTTTCTTAAGCTCGTATCTATATGCTGCCACTGTCTTCAGGCTCCCTGAACACCTTCTTGGAGCGCACCGAGCCACAGATAATGGTAAGATACAGTTTGAGACATACTTGTCATCTGCTTTCTAGATAAACGGGCTCAGATCTTATGCCTGCAAGTTTGGAATACTTATTACAGCAAAAAGTGACCCCTTTAAAGTCACTTCTGCCTCATATCTCAAAGTGTTGAGCAGAGATGGGTCATGTACTGGTGGGCTGAGCCAGCGGGACCAGCCTGCTGCAGGTAGCAGTCTGCTCAGCTTATGGCTGGGATTTCCTTTCAAAGGAGTGAGAAAGGGGTAATCCCAGGATATGACAGAGAGAGCCCTTTCCCTCATCCAAATCCCTCCTTTACCCAGAACCTCCTCAGCTCCATTAATCCTTCCTATTCCATAACCCCAGCCCCATCTCCTCTGACCCTTGCAGATGCCTGAGCCTTCCCACACCCTTCTGACACCTTCCCCATTTGTTGCAATCCCCTTTCCCAATAACTCCTAAATATTTCTGTTCCATCCCAACTCCTCTTCTACTTTTTTTCCCCGCTCCCCAAACACATCCAAATGCTGCAATAGCAGCAATTCTTAAAAGCATCTCAGCAGCTTGCGCGAGCAGGTCTTTATGAAAGAGAAATGACAGAAAAAATTGAGGCTTGCTGAGATACAAATGGCAAGAAGCATCATAACAGATGTCATCCTCTCCACTAGTAATTCTAAGTTACTGCACTGTATAGTGTCTGAGAGTCCTCAGCAGGACTACAGGGTGACAAATAAACTCCCCCAGGCATGGGGAAGGAACACGCTAGATCTCTCTTTGACAACACAGTTAAAACAGATTGAAGACAACACTGCACTCGAACATTACTTTCTTGAATTATCATTATTTTGTATAACACTCGTATTTAGAAACACCTGTTTGAGACTCTTATCACTCAACTAGTGGCAATTAAAGGATGGAAATTTAAAATGCATCTCTGATATTTAGATACCCAAACCCTACGCAAAGTGATTGCTCCTAGATCACATATGAATTACCAACATCTTCCCCTAAACAGAAAAATTCAGTAAATATTAGCTCAAATTTGTTGATAGAAACTGGGGCACAAACAGATCGAGTGACTTGCCTAAGACTCCTGCAGGAAGTTCGTAGCAGGGCTACTTATCAGAGTGTCTTAAAGACAAAGAGATCAGGACTTAGTTACTAGCCTGTATGACACAAATGTATGACCTATCCGGCAGAGATAGGAACGTAATAACCAAGCCTTGGGATTGAGCAGGTATTTATAATTCTACTCATCATATACAGGTCTGACAAAACCATGTGATGTTACACCAGCAACAAACGCGAAGAAAGCTCAGGTTCATGCAGGGGACAACCACGCTGCATGATCAGTTCTGATAAAATATCTCCTTACTTCCAGTAAGTCAGATTTACCAGAGCCTGAGCCTAGTACTATATCTGCCTTCATCTGTGGTCATAATCCTTTGCCAGTCTCCTGCACATGCTACTGAAATGTCATTGCTTACTGCTGGCAATGGCAACTGGGTGTCAGCTGCTAAATAGATAACATGAGAAAAAGTAATCTGAAAGCAAGAAGAACTCAGAAGGTCACCCCTCTTGGTTACCTCTGCTTCAACACCTTCCAAGTGTTCCTCAAACAGACCCACCCCTCTAAGCAGTTCATACAGGACGTTCACAACTGTGACTGTGAATGTCAAATGATCACTATCAAACACTGCACACAGTTTGGCAGCCAAAACTCTCCAACTAGTGAAACTTTTTTGCTCTTTAAGTTAAACGTATTCTGAATTTAAGGGTTTTCTGGTGATTAACACGTCTCCATAATTCACTTGTAATAAAGAACAAGTAACATAACCGAAACTAGAGGAAAAAGTGGTCCTGCGATGGGAAGACCGGTTTAACATTCTCAGTTCGCTGCAGAACGCGTCACATCATGTGTGACTTCGAGCAAGCCATTTTTTCAGTGCAGAACTGGGGTTTTGTCTTCCCCTTTGGTGTTCCATGAGGGTTTAACAGCAGCATTGATCCCACTGAAACAATTTATCTTTTAAGTACTACCAACATCTGCGACTATTGGCAGGACGCAGGAAATGAGAACTGCCGCTTGTTTATACCACATCTGGCAACGTCAGGTTGTGATCTTGCTAGCAGCGTCCAGATAATAAAATTGGCAGACAAAACAACTACGGAAAAGTTTAAGAGCAAGGCTGTGCAAACACAACCATGCCACATGGGTGCACACCCCTCAGCTGATGCTACGCAAGGGCAATAGACATCTCCTAAATTCCATCTGCGCCATCCAAGCCTGAAAACAGGAATTCAAGAAGACCACAAGCACCCTAACAGAGACAACTGCAGAACACCTGTAAGAACAGGATCTGATACAGGCTATCCCAAGATAAATTTTCAGCAGTCCATTGGCCTGTCTAGGGTTATTTCTAATACTGTATTCATGAAGAAATAAAAAAGCTGAACTCCAAGGGCTTAAAGTATTCAAATCTCCACTGCTTCTAGTGGATGACTCCAGGAGCAACTCATACCCACAGAACCTTGGGAGATATTGAAAAATTACAAACAATTTCCTTTTTTTTTTTTTTTTTTAGAAAGTAAGAAAAGGAAAAAGAAAGCATTACCTATACAGCACAGCGACTAAGTAAACAACGAGGTGAAGCAAAACTCCAACTACAACACCATAAGGAGGCAGGAGGGGTCCAGGGGTTGTCATGTCCATGGGCCTGGCCCTGGGTGGACCCCGAGGGCCGACCATGACCCCCGAGGGGCAGAAAGGAGCGCTCTAGCTCTAAGTCAGACAGCAATATTCTCCAACCTTTGCCAGAAAGGATCGTAGTCTTCATCTTCCTTGGAGTGGTCCCTGGGACTTCTGTTTTTTAACACCCTGGAGTAGAGAAACTGCGCTGCAAAATTCATTGTAATTCCTGGCGCAAAGCAAAGCTGGGAGACTGCGGGCAGGGGACACGCCTGCCTGTGAGAAGTGCCAGCCCTGCGATGCCTGGGTGGGAAACAGTGGGCAACGTGCTGTAAGCGGCTCTCCAGCGCGGGCTGGGGGAGGGAACTGCCTTAGAGAGAGACGGCTGCTGCTATTTAAAGAGATTATTTCAGAGGCCAACCTGTCCTTGTCAATTTGAGTCAGGGCCTGGATTATGCTGGGGTGACGCTCTGTTAGCAGGACACTTGAAGCTTTAGTTACTTACTGCTTAGCTGTGGAGCATGATCGAGACCTGCTGTAGGGCCCACGACCTAAGGGCATGCACTTGGGTAGGCAGAAGCGGCAAGAAAGGGATGGCTTTTCTGTGGTGATTGAGTCACTTGCAGGGATCCTTTAAGGCAGCACCAAGGGACATGGGTCTTTGTGACTGAGGCGCGGAGGAGACCAATTACTTGGTTCAGGACTTCTCTTGGCACAAGTCCTTGTAGCAGAAAAGCAGAGATATCCAGATCATACAGATAGAAAAGATCATCGAGGGAAAAGACTGCGGCAAGCATCTACATCTGTTCTTCATTGCCCTGATGGAGCGTTAGTGAAGGCGGTGCCAGATTTCTAGATGCAGGATGGCTGTGCAGTGGGGATGGGAGCAGGGGTTCTTCCGCGGCTCTCCTCTGCTGGAATACAGCCCTGGTGGAGCACAGGCTCGAAGGCTGCTCGGGGACTGACAAGGTGACCCTTTCCACACCAGTGGTCCCTCAGCACCCTCTGCTTTCTGCTAATAGTGTACAAAACTCCCAAGACAGAGAACAGGCACACTGTAAAATCTAACCTAAGCTGTGACCTAACCTTCCCCACAGAGTACCATGAGAAATAGAATAAACTGCTTTATATGAGAGAGTCAAAATATACGATCAAATAGTCTTCTGGGATCTCCTCGGAACCTCTGAGCTGTGCGGGTGAAGCCTTTCCTCCACAGGTGTGTCAGACCGGATCCATGCTCCCCCAGTTTCATCAGTACAGATGAGGTTCCAGATTCACCAGCTTCTCCTGTCTCTCCCACCCCAAACCCCTTTACCCTTCCCTTTCCAAGGTGGCAGATGTGTCGGCTGTGGAGGTGGCACATGTTACACGTGGCCACAGCCCGAAGCAAAGGGACAAAAAGGCAGTCAGCTGCTGCAAGCACTTGCAGCTCTAAGCCAGAGTGAAGTTCAGGCCACCTTCACCAGTGCCTTGAAGCAGAGGGAGAAGGCAGGTGGAGCTCCTGCTTTGCTTCTAACACGTCTGAAGTGCAATGGTGGGCAGGAAAGGGAACTTAAAGTAGTGAAAATCACAATGCCTAGCTTTTGGGTATCTGGGAGTCCAGACTGATGTGCTGATCAAGTCTTGACATGAATTCAGCTCCCCACAAAACGATGCCCTGATCTGTGATTGGCTCTTGTAGACCACATAAAACTGGTAAAAGGATTTTTGGGAGCATTTGGCCAAGCAGTTTGAAACAAATTCACCAAACTGTTTCAGGACAGAACTACTTGAAGCATTGAACCACTATCCTTCTAAAACACTCCCAAACAGTCAGCTCACTAAGGAAAAGAGGATATTTGGAAATTTCTGCTGTAGATTTAGGCCCATGTCAAACATCCATTCAAAGCCCTTACCTAAGTCTGTGCTGGAAACGCTGACTGTGCAGTGTCTTAGAAGGTACTGCATCACCATTAATTGCTGTAAGTTATCTACAACCATTTTCTGAGCTGCTTATTTCCTTAATGAGAGATAAACAGTTAAACACACACTATTATTAGATGTGTCTTCCTCTCATTCTTGCCTGTCAAACTTCATTGTCCTTACAAGCTTCTTATACTTTGTCCACCACGTTACGTATCTGCCTTCACTACCTGTGCACACAGAGAGGACGGCCGCGCGCAGCCTTCCTGCTTTCTCTTTCTGGAGCAATTGGATTTGGTCACCTTTCACAGGCACTTTTTTTCAGTATCTATTTCTCTAAGACATCTCTAATTGTTGTTACTTGAACCCTTCAAATAACTCAGCCACCTTCATGTAGGAAGTTAATCTGGTCTGCCAATTCTTCCTAATATCCCTCTCCAGGAAATTCCCATTTTATTTCCTTTGCCTTCACTAACGCAATTATTAGCAGGAGTTGGCATATATGCCGCTGCTGTCCAAGAACCAGAACTCTCCAGCAGAAGGAAATACCCCTGTAAATGACATTTTCAGGGGCAGTCCCACATCAAAATACTTATGCTGGGGATGAACTTAAGTACGTATTTTATGCTTTTTGATTCAAGGTTTAATATCCTTGAACTAGATTAATCCATAGTTTAGCAGCTATTACAAAAAATGGTATGACTACAGCTCCTTCCTGATTTCATTGCCTTTTCAGACATTTTTTTTCCAAGCAGACCACTGTGATAGAGGAGCTTTACAACTCCTCTAGATTCCACCAACAAGAAGGTGGATGCAAACAGTGAAAGTCACAGCAGCAGGGGGTTGCACATCTTCCTTCCCACTGCCACCGAGAGCATCTAGTCAGGTGTGGAGAGGGAATCCACCCGTTACCTACAGTGCTGCCTACTTCATTTACATCAAAAAGCATACTGGTCATGGCAGACCAGTTAGGCATTTCAACCAGCTGGCTATAGAGGCGATACAACCTGTTAGTGATTCCCCTGATACAGTTTTCTGTATTGCAATTCCTTTTTCAAAGAGTGGCTCTGAATCAACTGTCTGCAAGAGGCTATTGTCTGCTGCACTTGAAATTCCCAGGATGCCCTCATGTCTCTCTGGTTTTGCATCTAATTGGCAAAAATTTTCTCCAGCGTATCACCTTTTAATATCCTGCAAATCTTTCGCATATAATCTCACTCCTGACTCTTAGCTTTGAAAAGCCAAAAGCCTCTTACCTAATAGACTGAAATACATTATTTTCATTATATTTGTTCATCTTGAATACAATCAAGCCAATCACTACCAGCAAACCTGGAAAATGTACAAGTTACCTGAGTATCTAGGGATTGGTCCATTAACTGCTTGAAGATTTAAAAATATGGACCATAAGACTAACCACAGAATTAACATGTGAACAATGAAGTAGCTGTCCGTGGATAGATGGAGATCGACTTTTCTGTGTCTTTTGCATTGATTTGATCTGAGCTACAGCCTATTTGGAGATCAGTTATCTAAACTTCCAAATAAGCCTGGCACAGAGGTTTTGGTATATTACAGATTCTAATAAAACTCTTCAAATAACCATTTTCCTACTTCTCTTAAACCATGACCTGGAATAACTTAATAGAGCCACTTCCAAACCTGGTCACAGTGCTTCAAAAAACACCATAATCACCGCAGGAAGGAAAAACTACCTTTCATCTTTGACTTTTTCCTTTTGTATGAGGGAGAGAGGGTAGAGAGCAGGAAGGGGAGAGAGCGGGAAGAAGGATAGGTAAGACGCAAGATGTAATTACATTGCTTGTATGGTCAAGTGAAACCCAACACAATTGCCATGAAACTATCAAGGACAATGCTGAGTTACTGGTCTTCCCCAAATCACATCTCTCTTCAAATCTGGAGTTTCTTATCTCCTCTCAGCTGCTATGTGGTGTGTCCTAAGGGAAGAAAGCCAGCAGCTCTGTGCCATACAGGTTTCTGAAGGTCTCATTTACATCTCCATACTGCCACCACTCACACTTTTTGTGTTTGTGCAAGGAAATCACCATTCATATCTGTACAGCTTTTGGCATACCTGAGACCTCAGTAAAACCAGCGTCTATCAGGGGCACTGTATACATCTGAAATGGCAATCCTCAACAAGTATTTTTACCCATATCATCATACAATATTATTATCTTCTACTTAGATAATTTTGAGTCCAAAGAAAAAAAAAAACCCACACACTTTAATCAAGGGTCAGAATTTAAATTCCTTGACCTTACACACTAGCATATGAGCACTGATTAGGACCGGAAAGAAGTGGAAAATCCAAGTCTCAGAATAACAGTTTTACACTGATCAAGTTGTGTATGACTGCCTGCCTTCCTCCCTCAGTCCCTGGCACAAAAGCCATTAAAAGATAGCATAATGTGGAACGTAACATGTTGCTTTTCCTAGAAAACCTTCTAAACAAGGTTATGCTGCTATTTCCCCAAACTGAAAAGTAAAAAAGGACCATTTTGCTTTGAAAATGGAAAACAGTGCTTCATTCTCTTGTAACCAGAGAGAATTGAGTTTGGACAGCACTGTGAGAAATAGCTATTACCATTGTAAATAAGGGCTTCATTGAATTACTAGACTTGAAAGATGGTTTTGAAGGGTTAGCCAAGTTTTTCCCCACACTAAATAAAATTAATATAATTTCCAACCTCAGTGAGAATAGCATGGGTGGGAAGCAATAGTCTATCCAAAGCAGAGAATTCTTTGCAGAATTTGATCAGCTGCAGAAGGAAAAGGGTGGAGACGGTCTGCAGTTAAGCCAAGAAAAACAATAAAAGTTGTTCAGAGAATAGCAACGCAGAAAACCAAAATGGTAATTTAGGATTAAGCAATGTATCAACGCAAATGTGGTGGTAAACCACTGTAATAATCAGTATGGATAAATAAATAAATATAGACAATACAAAAAGAATAACCAATTAAGAAAAAAGAAAAGAAAAAAGAAAAGAAAAAAGAAAAGAAAAAAGAAAAGAAAAAAGAAAAGAAAAAAGAAAAGAAAAAAGAAAAGAAAAAAGAAAAGAAAAAAGAGAAAACAAAGAGAAAATGAAAAAAAAAGAAAAAAAGGAATAGACATCCAAAAGCTTCACATTTCCTTCTAATTTAGCATACTAATCTCACTTCCATCTCAGTTTCTGCATAAATCATATATTTATAAAGCAGACCAGCACTTCAGCCCCCAGCGTTTCTATGTCAGATAGCAGCTGAGCCATGGTAGTGAAATGTCATGTTCCTGTCATCTTTAGGGAGCTGAGAAAAGACTGATAAGGTAGATTGAAATCAGTGGAAACAGACCCAGCTTCCTCGCTCTATT